TGTTGGGATAATGACACATCGTCGACAGCTTGCTTTGGCAATGGTACGTCCCATTCCTCGTGCGGACCTACTGCAACAGAGGAGACCCTAACTGTGGCATCCCGAGTGAGATATGAAACGATCTCTGCGTAGGTGACAGAATTCTCGGGGGATTCGAACTTGACCAGAGACCCTTGATTTGCAAATGCAGAAGACTCGTGTTTTGCCGACCCATCCTTGTTAAGGATATAAAATTTCAGTCCGGTGGACACCGATCGATTACAAGTTTCAGGTTGCTACAGGGCTGGTACAGCTCTGCCAAACTCATACGGACTTTACCGGCGCCACCATTTTATCGGTCCCGAATAACACGATTATAATACAGACTTAAACTACTCAGCTCAGACCGGAGCCCACTCTAACGAAACTTCCTCCAAGAGTCCACTCATCTGTGCAGCTGACAAAGGAGTTGTCCTCAGTGAGAACGCGGCCAACGTATCCCGCACGGTTCCCACTGAACGTGCCCAAATGTCACCATCGTATCTACCGGGCTCTCCTCAAATCAACAGTCCGCCACCTGAGCTGTGTTCATGCTAGTGCCTTAGCTACCGAGCAGGCTAAACAACTGAGGTGTCCAACGCCTCAACAACATCGACCCCACCCATCTCTTCCCGGCGATAGGGCCATTATATGGCAACTCATTTGCCAACAAACGCACGCCTTTCCTTATAGTTTATACATTTGCAACTAGTGAACTATAAATATGAATCAGTAGAAAGCATGGTGGCCTTGATTTAGTCAGTAAAAGTACTCTTATTATTGCTCCAGAGACGTAGCATAAGGGGGCAGTGGAGGGACGGTCCGCCCCAAGCGGCCTGTGACAGGGAACAGAATTTTTAGTACCGTCGATTTGTTCGATGCTAAATATAAAGGGCAAAATATCCGGACAAGCTGAGGTTTGAGGATATTAGTTTTACACCATGGCCAACAACATATTTGTGCTATGCGTCCCACTTGTGCAAATTTTTTCCCAGCAATCCCCTTACTTGTCACATTGCGGTAACTTTCACCACCTTTCTCACAGTGTCAAAAACGATAACCCATTTCATCGAAAATTGATGTACACTTTACCTGGAGGCGATTGTATGGCTTCAGGCGCTTATCCTGCCCTTATGCTGAGCGGAAATCTTACCACTGCCCGGGCGGCAAAGGCAGTTGCTACGTCAATGTGCTGGCCAGTCTTCTTTCTCCGAGTCCCGCTATAGTTTTATGCCGTCTACCCGTTACGGCTGCCACCTCAATTACGAGTTCACATCGGCCGGCTAAATCCACCAGCCTTTCAATTCCAGTCGTCTAGCCTACTCTGCGCGTGGGAGCCAACGAGTGCGAGAGTGTGTCCGTTTTGACTAGAGCAGTCGAAACCCATCTAGGACGTGTAAAACAGATGATGGTTGCCTTTTTGTGGTCCTGAGTACGACATGACCATCAGAGCCCCAGTGTGTTTCCGTCTGGGGTTTTTCCAAAGTTGGAGAAGATAACGGCCATGGGTACCTTGCCTATCGTGGTTTAGATGAATTAAATTTTGCAGAACTGCTTCGTTTAGAAGCCACTATGCTGTTCGGGCGCATACGTGCTTCCAGTGATATAATCTTAGCGGTCATTTGCCGTTAAAATCGTGCTGCTAACAGGTCGCAATTTTATTATAACACGTCCTATTTTTTTCACTCAGTCGGAACGGATGAGCCTTATTTGCAGGTCGTACCCTAGGTCTTCAGAATAGCTAATCAAATATATAATGTTGCGGGCTAACGAGATCTAGCCCCTAGGCATACACACTAGCGGAGACTGGGTAGGAATTAAGCGTAACCTAGCACGACTGCGCTGAGACCCGAATGCGAAATTAAGACTGGCATTTAGCAAGAGCTTTTACTAACTAAGATAAAGCAAAGCATGCCTTCTACGACTTCATTTTCATAGCTCAATAGAATAGCATAGACCATAGAGAAAGTTGCAGGCTAGCAAGGCACATGAGTTGTCGTTCATTGATGGTGTACTTATGTGATCTCAGTTGGTGTCAGTATAGGTTTGTGCTGTAACTGCTGCGGCAATTGAGGAGCTCAGGTGGTTTCTGCGGTTTGACATGATAGGTACAGTAGAGCTCAGTTGGTTCTTATTGACTTGGCATCTATGTCCTATAAAGGTTTCGGTTGTTACCATCGCAGTCTGAGTCGCTTCATCAAATGGTTTGTCTGGTTGAGCACGGTGAACAGTGCGCAATTTTCGCGAAGCTATGTGGCTACGTAACACAGTTGGACTAGAATACACATATACTTGACTAATGATATAGTGGAACACACTGTACAGAATCAGAGGACGTCTTGGACGCTGTTTCGATCTCTCGCCCCAGGTTGGGGAAAATTCGCGCCCTTTGGATGGTACCAATTTTAACAGTGTTAGCAGACCAATCCTAGTTTAGTAACTTGCTTACATTCTGCTGAGTCGTAGGCATCTTCGTCTGATACCCTGTTGGATTCACGTCTACTTGTTTTCTGCTAATCAGCATAGTGTCGTTACTTGACCCAGTGAAATGGTTGGTGTTGTATACTTTGCCGCTTTGGTCGGTTGCGCACACCAGTCATACGAGTGATGTGGCTAGAAGATGCCCAGTGTGAGCGGACTTCCTGTCCAGGTGGCTGTTGTGGTCAACCGACGCACTGGTTGACTAGGTCACAAGGATCGGCGCTTGGCTTTGGATTATTGATCAATACCAATTGGATGCTGAGCGAGGAGCAAGTTACTAGAAAATGCGAGGTAACTATTGCATATGTCATTGGATGAGGACGATTTTTGGCCTATATAATTGGTTTTTTTAAAATTATCGTTTAGGTGCATGTAACTATTCCACAAAATGCTTGAAGCCGTAATACCGCACTGTTGCATTTCAGCAAAAGGGCTTGTCACAAATATAGACGTGAATCAGACATTGAAATGATAATAATCATCCGGAAGGTAATTGTGCACTTTGTAGAGCCGATAAGTCCGGGTCGAATGAATGTAAGCTCAATGATGTGCAGCAAGTTGGTGAGAAATGTTTCATAAAAGTAAGAGTGTCGATTCCGAACGGCTGCACGTAGCTGCCATATGTAACGGTGAGGGAGCTGAAGACGGCCTACAACTTGACTTACAAGAACCTGGAGAGGTGATACTTGGCGAATCCACCTTCCACCAGACGAAGGGATGTTCAGCATTTAACTTACTTAATCGCACAACAGTGGCGGTGAATGCTGAAAAATCTGTTGCATTTATGTATTAAAAGGTAGCAGTAAGGAGATTCGAACGGTACACGTAGAAAGTAATCACATCTAGGCTCATTCAAAAAGCCATCATACGTCCGGAAAACTACTGTACCACCGTTTCCTTCTTTCGGGAACCGTCAGCAGTGCGCATTGTACCCAACCCACATAGTGCTGGAATACGCAACTGGACTGTTGACAGACTGTAGTTGAGATCAGGGAGCTAAAGGGGGCGGTAACGGCCGTCGTGACTAAGTTACTAGATGTTCAAATACTCAGTGGTTATCCAAATAATTGATCATACAACAACAAAAGAAGCCTTGTGCTTGTGGTGCTAGAAATGCCGCAACCACAAGATCACAGTCGTTCACTTTTAATATCATACAGTACAAGGCGAGCGTAAACAGTGTACACTTCAGAAGCTGGAATTAGCATGTCTCGGTTATTATGCATGTTGCACAACGAAATAAATCTACGAAGCTTTCATTATGATAACACACAGTGGTTGGCAAGTATCTCGAGGGCATTTTTTATTACTGCGTAGGCGTCCACGGGTTTGGCTGTGTTTACTGATTTCACTTTTTTCTGATTTAGGATGTCTGAACAATCTGGCGATAAAATCGTCTGACTAACGGCCCTTCAGTTGCGGATACCCGTTGTCAACTACGAGCACAAAAATCTTTTCTGTGCTACAGGTTTAGTTGAATGGTTTGACCGGTCTAATCTCAGGTCCGCCACCTTCATCTTTTATTAGTGCTGAATGTGTATCGTCGATTTCTTGTTCTCTGTTGCCATTCAGTTGTATACTTCCTTATCCAGCCCTATCCTTCTCATTGGCTCTGGCGTGCGCCCTTCATGAGCATCCAGGTGATACAAAATCGTTGATAATGTTGGTAAAGTGCTCAGTTGTGTCTTGAAGCTGTTGTGCGTGCTTTGATTGCGCAGTATTTAGAACTGGTCTTCATTGCCCTTCTACCAGTAATCCAACTTCACGTTTGCGTCGACAGCAGCGGTCATCATATTCTTAGCCTTTGCTATGAGGATGAGGTTGGAAACCAAACTGACGGAAATTGGCTGGAACCCACTTCAAGCTGTGATCAATGGGAATCTTGCCCTAACCAAGACAACCACACCACATCTTGCGACGTTGTATGCAGAACCTGGTTAATTTTCGCGATGGAAGGTTATATGTACCGTTGCAAGGATTTTGGCACTGTTCGTTCCCAACCCTGCAGTAGTTCATCTGAAACCAGTCAACCTAGTTGCCTTAGGAAATAAGTGAAGAAGTGGAACGAAGATCAATGACCGAACATTTGGGAAGGTGATTCTCTTCGGCTGTCTGTGCTGTGCTTTATCGGCGGTTCTCACACGAAGTCTAAGTCGACAATCCGATTGATAATGCAGTATATAATATTTCGAGTTCGGTGTCATTTTATATACTACGTAAAAGTCGCATTGTCGCAGCGCTCATTTTAGCAATCCAGCAAATTTGGCTTAGTACTTTTCTAGTTGGGCAAGGAGACTGTCCTGCTGATTTCAGTTCAACAATAAGTGCACTCGATACTTCTTCCACACCAACCTGTGACTGTTGAGCGACTAAACTATGTGAAATTATTTTCTAGCAAAGGTCAATACCTACACGACCGTACTTTATTTCGTCATGTTTCGAAATTCTCTGATAGATTTGGCATTTGTGTGATTGATCGTTTATTATCATTTACCCTCTAGGATGATGGCGTAATGATAGTGTGCGACGGCTGTGGAATGTGGCAACATGCGGTTTGTTTCCGAATACTAGAAGAGTCTGATGTACCAACTTCTCACATTTGTGAACACTGCAGCGAATCTCGAGTGAGTAATTACTTTCAACCGGGATGTATTTAACTTTAGTGACTTCTTGTCCGTCTTTATTGCCAAATAATAGCTGCTTACAAATATGATGGGATGGGGACAAATTGTAATCGCCGTTCGCACTGTTTGCCTTGCAAATGGTGCAAACGCTAAGCCAAGGGAAAACGAAATGCAAGAGTTGCTTTGTTGTTCTTTTGTTCGGCCCTGATCTTACTTTCTTGTCTTTTGCCCAAACTACGCGCCGTCAGCTGTCGTTACAACTTTGATTGCGTCAGTTTACCCTTCATCCGGTTATCATAAGTATCGTTACTCCTATATAGTTTATCTATTCATTCCCATCTTCATTTCTAGGTCGAGTATAAATGTCATTTCATTTATACCGTTATCAAAAACTAATCCCAACAACGGTATTCACTACTCTGATATGCCCATATTTGTTTAACCAAGCCGAACTGAGGTCTTTTTGATTCGCTACTCCTCGCTATGTTTACAGAAAATGTGGGAATATCCTATACATCACTATCACTTGGGCATGGTACACATGTCGCTGTTCTCGTAAGCGAATCAATAGGCAGGGAGATTAGGAGACAGAGCCTTTTAAGTACGGAACTTCGAAATTTGATGCAGCTAGCCGCAATATAGAATAAGACAACAGCGGATAAACTTCTTCCATTCGACTTCCTCTCCGTTTAGTGATCCATTTTGTTACAAAGCCAGCTTATCAAAGAAGCAATCTGTTTAGGTATGTACTCCGATTTGTATGTCGGGGTAGCCACGTTAATGCTTTTATTACTGAACAATTGCAGGGCAGTCTCGACGATAACATTTTGGATTATCTTGCTTAGCCAGGCGCACCATCCTTCTCCGTGAGTTCTCCAATGCACTGGGTTGGATATGGGGCGTCGCACTTCGCGTCCATACTAGATGCACCAGCCACCATAACATTTTATTCACGGCCAATTGCGTTATGTTGTGTTTTGTTTTTCCTTCCAAAAAATGGCAGCTCCACATACTCCGAAGTTCTTCCCCTTTAAGGCCAAGACCCAATCAGCCGTCGGAAAAATTTGCATTTACCTCCTTGTTCCTCTATACACATTTCAAACTGAACAATGTACCCGGTAGCTTGAGTGTCTCAAATTCAGAGATGCTACCTTAGGTTTCATACTCACTCGTTTTACTACAACTTTAGAAACAGTTCAAGCAATCAATCACCTTTTCGTTCTCATTTTGCAAACTTAAAGGATTGAGTGCCATGCAGCACCACTTTAGTCTGATAGTAGATGCAAACTTTTAAAGGCCTGAGTTTTGCGAACTGGTGCTTCGCGCGGTAGAAGTCCGTCAAAATCTATTAACTCATTATGAGCTTTACGGCGGTCCCTTGATATGCATGTCCTAAACTTCATATGTTTTCAGCTTAGGTGGAAATAAATAATTTGTCAGCTGTACACCTTAACGGTGCTTCAGTGCCGCGCGACCACCACCAGTCGCGCGCGGGCTGAGTATACCGCGAGGACGCCCACCCCTACGCGGATTCGAACCGCGGACCTTAGGGTTGCAAACCAGGTGCGCAGACCACTCGGCCACCGTCCGAGGTAAGCGTCAGACTGAGCAACGGAGATTGTTAGTCATCATCTGCTGTAGAAGCTGTAGAGCAGTTAGATCATACTTCTACCTTCGTCGCTCAGTGTGAGTGGCGTTTTCCTTAGCGGGACGCATGTTAAATATTCACCACATATAGGCGCGTCAAATCTCCTGGACGCTCTCCACTTGTGATCAACAAGTTTTAAACGTTTGTCACTTTATATTCATACGAGCAACTAATATCTTCTTTAGCCATAGGGCATGGTTCCGTGAGATTTCAGCAAGTCGTTGTACCTCCACACATAAACGATGCTTGATCGCTGATGGATATTGAGCGCTTTGCACTTAGCAATTTTCTCAGTAACCACACCTTGTCCTACCTAGGACATGGCGGAATGCTACACGAATGTTTGCTCGTTAATCGCTCGCCATATTTTAACGCCATTGGTAAAAGTAGGAATTTCGATACAGCATGTATTCCACCAAATATCCTCATGTAATATCTCTGATTCCACCGATAGCAAAAATCGGATACGCGTGCATCTAGTGGTAGTTAGTATGGTTGTCCACGAGCGAAAATTTTGTGAAGCAATAAAGTTTGTTAGTTGTACAAATTGCGGAAACTACCCCAATAAACTTCTTCGGATCGTTGCCAGAATCCCACAGCTCATTGCTTTATTCCTACTCACTGCCAGCTCTATCCATCACTACACTGCCATTCTCGACCTGCTTGATTCACCACTCAATTATTCAACAGGCAGGGGATTTATTTTGCCAGTTGGTACGCCTCCGAACTTAAGACTGAAACCACAGAGCACATAACCCGGGCTACAAGCATTTCGTCCAATCTCAACCACTGGGCTGTTGCTGGGTATCAGAAACCATCGCCATCCGATTAATGAACTAGAAGTTAAAGCATTCAGTCCAGTGTTACCGACCACTTATCTTCATTATTTCTATTATCACCGGGTCTTCATTTGTGCCCGTCTAACAACTAGTCCCCTGGGTTCGATGAAATGTATGAATTGGAAAACAGACACTCTTCACTCGTATCCACAATTTGCGAAGCACCGATCATGTTTTGAGTTGCAGCGCCGGCTGTCGCGGCGGAAGTGTATCAATCAACTACGGATGTCGGCCACCTTCACAGCGCTGTGAACATGTATTCACCTCCACATATGTACCTGGATTATGTCCGATTTTCTGTGGCTTTGATTAGTATTGCTGATATGCGGAAGACAACTTAATTGGAATAACCGTTTCTAGTGTCCGATAGCGCATGTCAGAACTTTGGTTTAAAGCCTGAACCCGAGAAGTGCATCAGGTTAGTGTTATCGGGAATATCTCATTCCTGTTTGAAATCTTCAGCCTCATGGGTATAAGAAGGGATTCTGTTACTGCTTGGCATTTTCTTAACCGAATCAGCATTAGACATCCGTTTTTGTAGCATGCGAACTGTGTTATGACCATCGTTCGGCAGCCAAAGCCCATTCAAGGTCCGGGTGTGCGATGCACACGCACACGTTAGAACATGTAAGGGTCAGAGTGAACCAATCGATCAACGGTCATGACTAGGATACCACATGCATCCTTCAAGTTTTTGATCTATGGTAAAAACCGACATGCAGGGTCTCTGACTGACCCAGTCAACGGATGTGTTTGTGGCTACGTTGTCTGGTGCCACGGAAACAGGACCATGAGGAACACAGTCCTTGTGACGAACAATCGCTCGACCGTCAGAGCTGGCTTTGTGCTCCGCCCATCAAATTCCCGTAGCTCTCCAGGCTACAGTACAGAAACTTAACGTAACCCACTCTACGATCAGATACCTTCCTATAGTGTCCTGCTTTCTTACGGCGGTCCTCTGCCTGTCATTATCATCAGTATACACGTTAGCTGCAGCTGGAAAATACCTCAGCTATTGTACCGCAATAAGAAAGACAAGAAGAAGAACAAACAACAGAGGCACGCCGGCTGAGGCCCCACTAACGGATTGACATCGTTCCGGAGAGCTAACAGCCGGCTATCGTGCCACAAAAAAGAGTTATATTATGCCTAGCGAATGAGATCGTGATTGAAGAGGGAGGCTAAGCAGGAGAGGGATGGACAAAGGAACTCACAACGCCATTGGGGCCGGCTCCTAACCAAATCAACAAGTGTGCCCGACCATAGGTGTTCATCGTCCTTAGGACTCCTGCCAGGTTGTCGGAATGCACCAACGGACGCCAACTTCGACATGAGGGTTTTCATTTCTCTCGACAAAGTCATCGCTTGACTTTCTCTCCTCCTCTTCCAACCGCACCCCCGGTGTGCAGACAATGTACGTCGCAGGAGTCGGTATGCTGGCATGCGCAACACGTGGTCCGGCCCTCGGAGCATGCTGCGTGATATAATGTTGCCGAGTGGTTCACTAGCTCTTCCTGCACCAAATAAGCGACGCCGAACACGCTCGTTGCTCACGCGATGCTCCCACCAAACCTGAGCTAAGCTATGGAGGCAGCGATAATCGAACGTGACTAGCCTCTGTCTGTCAACGTGATGGAACAGGTTTCACAACTGTATAAAGGATTGAACGGACGGCTGCATTATAACCTCTGCCCTCAGGTCGAGAATGATGTCGCATCTACGCCACAGGTGCCCGCGATTGGCAAAAGCACCTCGAGCTTTTGCTATACGTTTCGTAATCTCAGCTTTGATCCCACGGGCGCCAATATAGCTGCTCAGGTACTTGAATTATTGAACGACTGCTAGCTGATCACCACCAATGGTCAGTGCAGGTGTGGGTGGGTACCTGCCAATCTTGGAGAACTTAGCATTTCGATGGAGCAAAGCATAGCGTAAGGCGATTGACAATCAATGCTAATCTGTCTGGTGCACCCTGGCACGTTTGAGCGCTGTCACATATGAGGGCAGTGCCGTCCGCATATTCCAAGCCAAGAAATCGCTCACCAGAAGTAGCTCCATGCCTTCCACGTCATGTCCAGCGAACCTCGTTTCCGTGACTTCATCAGTAGCTAACCTAAAGTGCAAAGGTGACAGCGGGCAACCATGTCTCACACCGCTGGAGATATTGAAAGGCGGCGACAGTTTGCCGTAAACCCTCACACTGCCCGAACTATGCGCGTATAACGCTTTGACAATGTTTGCATATGTATCGGGCACACCTTTTCTCAATAGACAGTCCCAAAGGGCACATCGATGCACCGAATCAAAGGCACCTTTGATGTCGAGAAACACGACAACGATGGGTCACCAATAAACATGCCGGTGCTCCAGCAATTGACGCAAAGTGAAGATGTGGTTGTTATAGCCTCGATTTCGACGAAACCCGGATTGCTCTTCGCGGATCTCGCCTTCGTAAGCGCCAGTCAGTCTGTGAAGAACGACAGAGGCAAGCAATTTAGTGGCAATTGAGATCCTAAAGATCCCTCTATGATTGTCGCATTCCGAATGGGAACCTT